AAAATCATAGGTTAACTGTATATGTGTCAAAGATAAAAAATATCATTTAAGGAATTTTATTTATTATATAATACATTATCTATTATTTAACTGTAGAATAAAATATTGCAATAAGCTGAACACCCTTATGCTTAAACACTGTGAAAGTTCAAACAACTAACGAAATATTAAAAAAAAAAAAACAAATATTTTAAATAATTTATATCATGATATAATTTGTATTACATTAAAATAATCATGGACAAACGTGCTTCGACAGATCTAATAAATACCGAAATGTATGTAATTTCACCCTCTAAAAATGTAAGTTCAGACTCATTAGATTCTGATTCAAAGTCTAGTTCTTTAAATTCAAAGCATAACAATGAATTGGTAAGTTCGTTCCTTGAATAATATATAATCTATTTATTTATTTTTTACATAAGTTGTTATCATTATAGGCTGAAGATGCAATCCCATTAATTTCTGGTGAAATGGTAGTCAGTTCATCAAAAGATGTTACTTATCTATGTCCATATAGTGGGCCAGCTCGAGGAACGCTCTCTGTCACTAATTATAAATTATACTTTAAAGCAGCTGAGAGGGAACATTATATACTAGATGTTCCTTTGGGCGTGGTTAGAAAAAGAATTAACTTTATTGTTCATAAATTTTATTTTAATTCACTTAAAGTTTAAATATATTAGGCATTTTCAATTATCCAGTGGCTGAAAATTTAATATGTTTGTGTAAAGCTTTTTAAGTTTCATAATATGCTGAACCTTATTTCAACCTTCAAAATTTGCATTAGGTATCAAGAATTGAAAAAGTTGGTGGAGCTAGTTCTCGTGGTGAGAACAGTTATGGCATTGAAGTATTTTGCAAAGATATGAGAAATTTAAGATTTGCTCATAAACAAGAATTACATTCAAGAAGAAGTATTTTTGAACGATTACAACAATATGCATTCCCTTTATCACACAAAACATCACTATTTGCTTTTACATACAAGGAACAATTTAAAGAAAATGGTTGGAACGTTTATGAACCTATAGCAGAACTTAAAAGAATGGTATGTTATTATATATCTATATTTATCTATTTTTGTGAAACACTTTAATGTCCCTTAATTTCAGGGTATTGGCAATAGTGATTCTTGGAGAATAACTAAAGTTAATGATAAATATGAGATTTGTGATAGTTATCCTTCTGTTTGGGCTGTTCCTGTTTCAGTAAGTTTTCATTTACTGCTATCATCACATCATAATAAGGCTTACTTATTGTTATTTCAACAAAATATGAAGATTTTAATAAGACAACTGTTTTTTGCTTCAAAATTTTGCAGTGTACTGATGATGATCTTCGAGCTGTTGCAGCCTTCAGGAGTAGAGGACGACTGCCAGTTCTTTCATGGATTCATCCCATTTCACAAGCGAGCATTACTAGATGTTCACAACCACTTGTTGGAGTAAGAGTTTAATGGTTTTGAATTCATATTTTTGTGATTATAGATGATAATAATATACATTTTTTTTTGGAGGTCAGTGGTAAACGAAGTGCAGATGATGAGACATATGTCAGGACACTTATGGAAATAAATTTACAATCTCACAAATTATCAATTATTGACGCAAGACCGATGGCTAATGCAATTGCAAATAAAGCTAAGGGTGGCGGGTAAAATACAATGATATATATTTGTAAGTAAATACAAGAAAAATTAATTCATTTCTTATTTTTGTAGTTATGAAAATGAAGATGCATATATACATGCTGACTTGGTTTTTCTTGATGTCCATAATATCCATGTAATGAGAGAATCTCTGAGAAAATTAAAAGAACTTTGTTTCCCAGGCATTGATGAAACAAAATGGTTATCCAATTTAGAACAATGCTATTGGTTAAAACATTTGAAAGGAATTATTGCTGGTGCTGTCAGAATTGTGGATAAAGTATTAATAAAATTATCATTATTCATTCATCATTATTAGTAATATATAGCTCCATAACAAAAAAATATTTTTAAACAAATGCCTAACTAATAATTGGTTTATTATTAGATAGAAAACCATCGGAGTTCAGTTATGGTGCATTGTTCAGATGGTTGGGATCGAACAGCACAGCTTACAGCTCTTTCCATGCTACTTTTAGATCCATACTATCGCACTATGCGTGGTTTCCAAGTTCTTATTGAGAAAGAGTGGTTGTCATTTGGTCATAAATTTCAACAGGTTTATAATTTACATCAAAATGATTTTGATTAAATATAACTTGTTATTTTTCATTGTGGTTGTAGCGTGTTGGGCATGGTGATGACCATCATAGTGATGCTGATCGTTCCCCAGTATTCCTGCAATTTATGGATTGTGTATGGCAAGTTGGTCAACAATTTCCAACTGCATTACAATTCAATGAGCATTTCATGATTACTGTTATTGATCATTTGTATTCATGTCGTTTTGGAACCTTCTTGTGTAATACGGAAAGAGAACGCGTCAAAGAAGGTATGAAAAGCTCATTTACATAAAATTATTTGAATATCACAATATTTTTAAATTGGAATTATGTCACTAAATGTTCTAATTGTTTATTTTTCATAAACATAGTTGTGTTTTACTTATAGATGTTAAGAATCGTACAGTATCATTATGGTCATATACAAATAGCTGTAATCCAGAGCAATATATAAATCCATTATACAATGATTCTGGGCCCACTGTTCTACTTCCAGTTGCCTCCATTCGTGTTATAAAGTTATGGAAAGGATTATATTGTCGCTGGAATCCTAGTATGAGACCTCAGGTAAAAAATACTATATAATCTAGTATTAAAGCCTACATTAATTGGATCAGAAAGTTTCAAGTTAATGACATTAAACCTAACAAAAAAAGTAAATTGACTAGTTCAAGTATATTGACTATTGATTAGTAACGTTCGAAGAAATACATGCAAGCAATAACGAAAGAAATATATTTTTGAATACTTATTCAATGAACTATTTTATATAAGATAAGTATTTCCTAATGCTTACTCATATAAAATAAATTCTTTCTCATATAATGTTGAACTAAAGCCATATATTTAAATTGCAGGACCCAGTTTACCAAAGAAGTAGAGAATTATTGGCTTTAAGAGAACAACTTGAAAGACAATTAGAATGCAGTAAAGAATTAAGAGCAAAGGGAAGTAATGCTACACATAGTCGAGTTACTTCTTCACCATTACACTAAGCTACACATTTAAAACTGAAATTATTTTTTAATTATTAAGAAATTTTATTCATATTCATATATCACCTATATATATAAAATAATGTTTTACACTAGTAAAAGCATATATATATATATATATATATATATATATATATAAGAAAAACAATAAAGTACAAACAATTGTATGTATAATAACTTTTTATTTCACATAAAATCCGAATAATTTACAGAGCACATCTAATGCCTTATGGTGAATGTTACTGCATTTCCTATTTAATAATGCTAATCTGTTTAAAGTGAAGCGAAGTATTTGTTTTCCTCTGTAATAAATTCATTTCAATTACTTATTTTTAATAATGTGCACTGATTATTATATAACATGGGCTTCAGAACTTTTTTTTGCAACTTCTCTTATTTTTTTTTTTTTTGAGTTTTAGTAAGTTAAAAAAATATGAGAAATAATTACTTTCCCTATAAAAATGAACTTGGTTGGAATAGAATAACTTATTAAGAAGCTTTGCAGTTGTATTTCATACCAACAAGATAAGTTTTTATATAAATCCATAATACAATTCTATATCCTTAGATTTTATGTGAGAATAAAGTTAACAGTAGCTTGTATTAAAGTAAGATGTGTAAATAAAGTAAATAGTAATTTTTATTAACAAAAATATAAACAAGAATGTTGCAAGTTACTTTATTAATTAATCCCATGAAAATTCTAATTAAATGCTGTAAGAAAACTAACCTTCTTGAGCTCGTTTCTTTTCCTCAGCTAATTTTGCATCCCGAATTGCTTTATGTTTAGCTTCGACTTCTCTAATTCCTACTTCGCGTTTTGCCAGCCTGCTTTGGTGAGCTGCTCCATATAATATTCCGACAACGAGAAAACTCCACCTTCCGAACTGAAATCACAATTATTAAAAAACTTACAATATAACTTAAAGCTCTGAACCTCACATTATTTAGAATATTACATAATGAGCAAAAATTTCATGGTAGAATGTATAAACAATTGAATTGATTGCAATTAATACCAGTATAAACTTACTTTGATCAGAGGTGAAACGCGAACTGGTGCTTTTCCCTGGTCCATTTTAATTAATGATATTAATAATTTTCGGACTTTCAAGTATCAGTCTGTCAATTTGCGACCTCCGTTTTGATGAAATTGCTAAACTGACATCTATTGCATGCTAAGCTAATCGTGTCGAAACTTTAATGAATAAGCTTTACCAACATAAAGGCTATTACTATCGTAGTCATATCCCGTCAATTTATATTGTCTATTGTAATTCTCAATTCCTGATCCGTTCAAATTCAAAATTAATTTAAAGAAATTAATCATGAAATCAATAGTAACGTGAATGATTGTAAACATTGTAAAATAGTTATTTTTTACAAATACTCTATCCTAGATAATATATATTATTTTGCATTATAGATAAGTTTGCAATATGCAAATATATAAAAAAAATGGCTTATCCTGCCCATAGTTAAAAGAAGAGTATAAGATCTAGCCTATAATTATCAATTTGAATATAAAAAAATTAATGGCCACTACATAACAATACAGCGTTATATGAATAAAAAATACAGGATCATTTTTCTTTTGTCTACCCAGAGAATACACAGAAATGAACTACTACTGTTTAAGTCTATTTAATTTAATATCAATGTCAATATGAAAAATATAATGAGCTAAGCAGTAGTACAATTTAGCTAAAACTATAAATAGTTTTAATTTACTAAATAAACACACATTTTTTAACATACCGAATAAATATGTTTATTTGTCTACATGAATGTTAATGTATTTTAATTAATTACATGTCATTAAAATATTGAACAGTTTTAGAAAGTTTTAATAAATAAATCAACTATAATTTTAGTGTGCGCAATGACATCTGTCAAGTTATTTTCTAATATTCTGTCTAAATAAATGAGAAAAATCCAAAATGTTCAAAATGGAGGGATGCTATTTGTCAGGAGGGGGTATGTAATAACAGCTATCTGAATCGTCACATTTCTCATAGCATTCTGGTGGTATAGTGATGGGTTCTCGGACAGGAGCGGGGCAAATAGGATAATTATCTTCAAGTTCTGAATCTTCAGAAGGCTGTTCCTTTTCTATAATTTCATCATTTTAATTTAATTTGTTTGCACACAATAAATGGTTTACAAATTGAAAACTAATGTAAAAAAATTAAGAGCAAGTTTTCTGAAAATTAAAAATAAAAGATGACTTAATTTAGTATCAGTGTCATCGGGTTATGCAGTAACATCCAATCATGCAAATAAATGATTAATTATGACCATGCCAGAGACAGATTTTCACATGAATTTATATAAATACTTCTGCTATAATTCTTAAATTATTTTTCTTCTTTAGCAGCTGTTTCTTCTTTAGAGTCTGGAAGCAAAGCTTCTTTCACCTTAATTACCAAATTCCCAGCAAATTCAAAAGTTTCATTTAAATTTGTGGGAAGTTTGGGTAGAGTGGGCAAAGGTACGGGTTCATCCCCAGGTTTGACTGCATTCAAAGTTATCAAATTAAATTTTGAAAACCATTTTATACAAAAATTATTCAAATCTTGCAAGATAATTGGGAAAATATTTAAATTAATATTAAAAGCTATTAAATATTTTAAGTTGTGTAAGAAAATATGTCAAAGTTCCTATAACTTAAAACATCTCACCTCCATACATAAAATTGTAAGCAATTTTTACATATTGTTTAGTTAAAGCTAAGCCTTCCTCAGCTTGTCTCTCTGCATCATTTGGATAACAAATATAATACATTCCTCCTGCACCCGCAGAAGTATAAATAAACTTTCTGAAACAATTGGAAGTTGATTTTGAGTGTTTATTTGTTGGAAGTTGAGTCGATAATTATAAATAAACGCATTACAAAATGTTATAAAAAATACTGTTATTTCTTTCAATTGAACCATAAAATTAGTATTGCAATAAAATATAGTTTAAAATTGAAATTCACCTAAATAATCCTCCCCTCAAAGCTAAGATGAATCCAGCAACACCTCCCATTGCTATAGCTCCTAAACGATGTGTGTCACTAGCTTCCTCACGAAGATATACTACAAAACCTAAAATAAAAAAATAACATGAAATAATAAATGCTTGTAGACCTAGCATCACTAAGTCAGGGACGAATAACATTAGATAATAGAAATATGCATTTTATTCTTTTTGCATATACTTGAAAAGAATCTTGCAAAATTGTTAAGAATGAGGTACACGAAAAATGTGATTTATATTCATTTTGCTTTTTACATATAAAGTTCTATCATAGAAATTGCTAAAAATATTTTTAGATTTTGTTTGTTATTTATATATATATTATATGAATTTATAGAAAATTCATTTTATTTGCTTAAAAATGCAATTTTGCAAGAAAAACATTTCATAGAGTATGAATTTTATATAATGATTATGGAGATCTTATATTTATTTATCATTAGCGATGCTAGGTATAATAAAAATGATTACCAATGTAAATGCAGGAGATGTGTGGTAGATCTTAATACTATTGTCAGTGGAAATTGCATTATAATGAAACTGTTGATAGGCAACATTGGTGTCCTACAAAAATGTAGGGATGCTTCTGGATTTCATTATGCATTGATCGCAATTGCCTAAATGAAGCCAAAGAACAAATTCAGTATATGATGTAAATTCGTTTTAATTTATGCAGATGATTGAATTGATATTGAATTATTTCACTTACATTTTACACTTTGTGTTCCTTCATTGATTTTGTCATCAAGGACACCTTTCTGTTGTTGGAATTTGCCATATATGTCAGTAAAGCCTTCCCGTAAGTTTCTAATGCTTCTTTCAAGTATGCTTGGCTCTTCTGTTATTAATTTGCTCCTCTCAGAGTCAGGTGGGCACTCATCTTGAGCACTGCAATTTTGTATAAATAAATTAGCAATAAAAATATATAAATTTTCAGTGTACAAGTTAATATACTATGCACCAGTTACTCAATTTGGCATGTCAATAATTTAAAATGTGTATGTATCTTAATTTTCAAGTTTAAAATGTATATATTTCTTGACATTTTAGTCTGAAATGTATATGTTCCTTAATATTATAATGACCAAACATTTCAAGAGAATTGTTATCAGCATATTACATTTTATTTACTTACCATTTACAACAATCTGTGTTTCCATAAATTGGTAATTCTGATGGTCGACAGAGTTTGGGGCAATTGCATGAACCTTGGCATACTTCGCGATTGACCATCAGTGGAACTGCACAAAAAGTGGCCCCCGGAATGAGCATTGCTTTCAGCACCTGAAGAATCCGCATATTAATGAATATTTTATTTTTACCACAAACATCTTTTCACTATTTTATATACATCATGCCTCTACACAAATAATACCTTAGCAGATAAATGAGTGAACCTCATCGTTACGATTTTTTTGAGTTTTGTTATTGGAATAATCTGTAGAATTACTACATTTGGCAGAATGCGTTTTACATAACTCGTATTCGATGACATCTATGTTTTCTGAAGCGATTTCGATCGCTTAGGTTCGACATTTAGATGACCGCGAATTTTAAATTATTTAAAATAAACTAATTAAATTTTTTGAATATTCGTAAGCGATTCAGAAAAATGTTTCATCATGTTATCAAATGTTTTTTTTTACGCTTACTGTGATAATTTGACTTTTAATACTGAAAACAAGTTTAGCGCAAACCACTTCACGTAAGTCAAATGTCAATAATGTCATACGTTTCATAAGTGTCATAACGGTCATAACGTCCTAAATCGAATGAATAAAAAATTTAATAGAAAATAATAAATTAAAAACTGGAAAATTTAATATAAGTTCTATCGATAGCATAAAAAATTGTTTTTTGGTTAGTTCGCTAATATTAAATTGTGTATTGCAAGAAATACAAAATATCAATGAATATGTAATTGTCAACATCGAAATCTACTTTAATTATTATATTCTTAACAGAACATACGTTAATGCATGGGGTAACCATGCCATATAATAATCCAGGTTTAAACGAGTCCATCAAATCTCCTAGTTCGAAGTGGGCCTCCATAATTTCAGAAGCAGTCATTTCAACTTCCTCTTTTGCTCGATTTGCGGGATTCATTGCGGGACAGATGCCGGAAACAGAAAATTTAGTGTCATTTACGAGAATTTTTAAGTTCACAAAAAAGTATAAATCGAATAAATGAAACAAAAGAATACTATAGTGTACTATATTCATATTTATAAGTGATTCATTTCAATTTTCAAAATTATCCGCAAAAATATTAAAATAATGGTTATTATTATTAATTTATGTTTAGTTTTAAGTTTTTGCCTGTACATGCATTAATATTATTAGAAACATGTTTTAAATTATGTATAAACTATTGTTTTTAACTTTTAATCCGGTGTGTGTTTGATTGCCCCTCTCGAATTGAGAAATTATTCATAATAATGATAGCATACGAGCATGAATATAATGATGAACCGAATCCACGATCAGTAGCTAACCCTTTGTCAGTAGTTTTATTTTGGTAAGTGAAGAATGATTTTAAATTATTATTTTCACGAAAATTCCAATCGCTTTTCTGGGATACAAAATATTTATATTTTTGTCATTATTTGGCTGCGGTCGTTTTCGTTGGCAACAGAAATTGTATTTCGACGAAAAGCAAACCTAGTTGCAAATTATAATTTAAGATATCTATAGAGACATCCTTTAGATCTGAGCCAATTTTAATGAAATGCCAATGAAAACTTCAGTTTTATTTTAACTCCAAGCTACTATAAAAATTAAATTTAAATTCCAATTATATTCTAAATTTGGTAATTCAATCTCTAGGTGGACTATGCCTATATTTCGCAAAAGATGCCAACGAGAATTTGAAGAATATGATCTTTATAGACCTCTTCCACAGCACCGATCACAATATTTGGGTAAATATGATTAATGATTATAAACTGCAAATTGTATTTTATGCTTAGCATTACACTAATCTAAAATGTTATATATGTATTACACGGCATTAGATTAGAATAACTATAATATTTTTTTGTTTGGTACAATTAGCATTACAGATTATTCTTTAGCTCATTTATTTGAGAATAAGATTTAAATTTTCAGGTGATCAATTTTGCACTGAATGGAGGTACATGCGCGACCGTCACCCCGTTAGTCCTGGTGAAAGGATGCGCAAAAGCAGACCTCGAGTGTGGAGAGTATTGGCTCGCTTATTTGGTTTAAAGCTGTTTTTATACGGATTTTTGTACTTTTTAGTAGAAATTGTTAGGTAATATTATTTTATTATTATTATCAACAAAATATATTTATCTCATTCGATATTTTTATAAACTATATGGATTGTTTATATTTAATACAAATACGCACGGAAAGTATGCCGCAATTGTTGCACTATATACTGCCATTTTGACCCATCGCGATACCATTCCAGCCCCGTAGCATACTCGTATTGAACCCATCGGGTTGACCATGGGTCAAACCAGGGCTCTGACATAAGTATCGTCATGGGTTAACCTATGTTCATATATGGTACCAGTGGGTTGACCATAAGTTAACCCTACAGTCCATTGTGACGACCATAGGTTGACCCTAAGTCAACCATGTGCTGTGTGGGTATATATCATAATTTGTAATTATTAACTATTGTATAATATTACAGATTACATCAACCATTATTACTAGGACTACTAGTTCAATATTTCACAGAAGAAAATGGCAGAAATAATAACACGTGAGTTCAATAAGTTTTATAGGTCTATTATTATATATTGAAAATTATGTAATTTTAATGTTGTTGTTAGCGTCAAGTATACATATATGCAAAGAGTTTTTCATTACCATGCCCAAAATCAATCAGCAATAACCAGATCAGAAGCATATTTCTTTGCAAGTGGTGTTGTTTTCTGCTCTGCCTTGGCTGTTTTGGTAACTCATCCATTATTGATGGGATGCATGCATATAGGAATGAAGATTCGCGTGGCTACATGTTCTGCTATATACAGAAAGGTTTATATATCAATCTAACTTCAATAATTGCTAACTATTTATTTCTTTAATAATTTAAATAATAATTTTCTGCAGGTCTTGAGATTAAGCAGATCAGCATTAAGCCAAACATCGGCCGGGCAAGTTGTAAATTTAATGTCCAACGATGTAAATCGTTTTGATACCGCGCCTTTATTTCTTCACCATGTCTGGGTTGGTCCTACATTATCTTTTATAATCACTGTATTTTTATACAGTGACGTTGGACCCAGTGCGTTATATGGAATTTTGCTAATTTTACTTTTAATGCCATTGCAAAGTAAATATTTGGAATATTAATATAAATTTATATACATAAATATATATATATATTAAAAATAATAATTTATATTTGTATTTTATAGTCTTTTTGGCTTACACCACTTCCATATTGCGACACAGAACTGCCCGTTTAACTGATGAAAGAGTTAGAATTATGAGCGAAGTTTTGCGTAGTATAGACGTTATCAAAATGTATACATGGGAACCACCGTTTCAAAGGCTTGTAAATATATTGAATATGTTTATATATATATATATATATATATATATATATATATATATATATATATGTGACGTATAAAAATGTTTTTACTATACAATTAAAACTATATACAAAATTTACTCAGGTTCACGATTTACGCAATAGTGAAATGAAACAAATTCGTGGATGTGGCTACATTAGAGGAATTGTAATGTCTTTTATTATGTTTGGTACGAGATGCGCTATATTTGTAACTTTAGTATCTTATGTCCTATTTGAGTATGGGCACCTTACTGCAGAGAAGGTACTTTCATTCAGAATATATACAATAATATATATATATATATATATATATATATATATATATATATATAACAAGACACTATTTTCAAATTGAAGGTGTTCATGGTTATCGCTTATTACAACATACTACGTACTGCAATGACGGTATATTTTGTACAAGGGGTTGCCCAGGTGAATACATATATCTAATGTATTAATAATGCATTAATTTTTGAACTTATTTTATTAATCGTATTGCTTATTCTCAGGTAGCAGAATTATGCGTAGCTTTGCAGCGCATACAGTCATTTATGGATCACAGCGAAAATATCATAACCGATGAAACTAAAATGCCAAAGCCATCTCTAAGTACATTGGCAGTTCTGAATGAGAATCGCTTTCTTCCACAGCGTGAACCTGTTTTAGAAGTTGAATTAAGTACAAAGGTGCAAAAATAATCTTCAATTTATATATAAGGCAGAAGGTATTATTATGTCTAAAAGATTTGAGCCGATTAATTATATTTTAATTTCGTTTATTAAAGTCACTTTCATAGTTTTTTAAGATTATATCTTAAAATTTAGGTAAAATTACGTTCTCGTATTCCATCTGAAGAAGACATGGCACCTGGTATATTTTTATTACACGCTTTTGCAAAATGGCGCAATGAAGATCCTAAGTACGATTTACGTGATTTGACATTGACCTTAAGACCAGGTACGCTGTGCGCAGTTACTGGACCAGTAGGAAGCGGTAAAACATCTTTACTGTATTTACTTTTACGAGAACTACCAGTACTGAGCGGATTTGCTCGCATAAATGGTGCTATGAGTTACGCCTCTCAGGAACCTTGGTTATTCGTAGGTGAAAATAATTTAAAAAATAGCGAGTTTTATTTAATAATAATAATCTAAAAATGTATGCCATAAAGAATACCAAGTTTTACTGATTTAATCAATTTAGGTACAGTTCGCCAGAATATACTATTTGGCCAAGAGTATGAGAGAAGGCGTTATAGAGCAGCAGTAGCAGCGTGTGCTCTTGAAAGAGATTTTGAACTCCTTCCAAATGGTGATCATTCTATAGTTGGAGAACGAGGCGTTTCATTAAGTGGTGGACAAAGAGCAAGAGTAAATTTAGCAAGAGCCGTTTACAGAAAAGTAAAACAGCTAATTTCTTTTTTAATTATTGGTATAATTCTAAAACGGAAATAAAACTTAGGCCGATATTTATCTATTGGATGATCCATTATCCGCGGTGGATGCAAAAGTAGGACTTCAACTTTTTAGAAATTGTGTTACTGGTTTCCTCAGGGATAAAACTGTAATACTGGTCACCCATCAACTGCAATATCTTCAAAACGTCGAACACATTATATTAATGGGCGATGGCTACATAGAAGCTCAGGGCAGTTTTGATGAGGTCTTGGTAAATATTTCTAATTTCATGCAATTACAACTCAAAGTCCGTACTTTAGAGTACAATTTTTAGGAAAGCGGCAAAGAATTTGCTCAATTAATGAAAGAGATCAAGCAATGCGGCGATATGCTAGAAGATGATAAACCAAGTACTTCTGTAACTACCCCTGCCGGCAGCAATATACCCAAAAAAATCAGCCGTCAATTTATGATGGGCCTGAGTGCAAGCGGTGCTTCTTTATCAGAAAAGATTAAAACGGTTTGCTTGTTATTGTACTTCTGAAACAAGTGTGCTATATTCATATAAAAAATTACTTTTAGCGGCCGCCTCAAGAAGTTGAAGTCCATTCGCATGGAAGAGTAAAGGGACAAATTTATTCAAATTATTTTCGTGCTGGTGTTAAGTGGCCCCTGATAGTTATATTAATAATGTTATTTTTAATAGCACAAGCATCTGTTAGTGGTACAGATTGTTGGCTCACATATTGGGTGAACACAGAGGTACATTTATATTTGATTCATTTATAAATATTCTTTATAAAAATTGATACAAATTGAATTTTATATTTTTAAAAGGTTCATTATAGAATGACTGGTGACAGAGATATGGATACTCATACTTGTATCATGATTTATGCCGCACTAAATTTAACAATCATAATATCGTCTTTAACAAGATCATTTATGTTTTTCTGGGTTTGCGTTAAAGCATCTGTAAAGTAAGGAAATAACCTAACAATAAGATATTTGGCAACAAATAAAATATAACATAACTTATGTTGGTTTTTAAGATTACATGATGACATGTTTTTAAGTATATCCCGAGCTACAATGCGTTTTTTCAACACCAACCCTTCAGGACGAATTTTAAATCGATTTTCTAAGGTAGTGAAACCCAGTATATATAAATAAAAAAATTTTTTATCTTCCTAAATAAATGCCTTTATTTAGGATATGGGGGCAGTAGATGAATTATTACCTTATGCAATGATGGATACAGTACAATTGTCGTTCAATATGCTTGGAGTACTAGCTGTAGTTGCAGTTGTAGAACCCACACTCTTAGGACCACTTGTAGTTATTCTTATTGGATTCTGGCTGATGAGATCTATGTACGCCCGGACTAGTACAAGTATCAAACGTCTTGAAGGAATTAGTAAGGAATTTATTTGACTGATAAGACTAATCATAAAAAACATAAAATTTACCTCTTGTTAGCACGAAGTCCAGTATTTTCACATTTAAATGCTAGTATTCAAGGATTACCGACTATAAGATCCTTCCACATGGAAAGACGGTTGTCAGACGAGTTCGATTCCCATCAAGACTTACACAGCTCTTCTTGGTAAATTATTATATTTATATAATATTTATAATATAATATATAAAATAATTAAGATCTATTTAAATTTACTATTTCAATTTCATAACGGCAAAGTTGTAATAATTTTTAATAATACATTTTCGATCATTCATTATATTTAAAAAGTAAAATCATTATGAAATATGCATTTCATAGGTATTTATTCATTGGAATTAGCCGTGCATTTGGATACTGGTTAGATTTGGGATGCGTGTTGTTTGTGGCTTGTGTGACTTTCAGTTTCTTATTGTCAAGTACTGAGTATTCAGATTCGAAAGCAGGAGCTGCTGGCTTAGCTATCACCCAATGTATTTCTCTTACTGGTGTTTTTCAATGGGGTATGAGGCAGTCTGCCGAGATGGAAACTCAAATGACATCTGTAGAGAGGATTTTGGAATATAAAAATATCGATCATGAAGGTGCTTTGAAAAGTGTGAGTTAAACCAAAATAACTCTCTCTCTCTTTTTCATATATATATATATATATATATATATATATATATAATATTTATATAATATTTCATGATGTTTACTTGATTTATGTAGGCGCCCGGCACAGAACCTCCACATGATTGGCCCAAGACGGGAAAAGTTGAATTTTGTGATGTTTCTCTTTCATACAGTCCAACTGCAAAACCTGTGTTGAGAAATCTTTCTTTCGTGGTGCCAGCCCGCACAAAGGTACACAACCTATACAAAACAAAGACAATTAAACTTACTTGAGATAAAAGTTATTTAATACACTTCATTTAATTAAGAAAATTATTTTTATATTGAATTCAACAGAAAATATGCTATAAGTCACTTTTATCTAGATGGGTATCGTTGGCCGGACCGGAGCCGGCAAGTCATCAATTATAGCTGCTTTATTTCGCATGGCGCCATTGGATGGTGAGATTTTGATCGATAATTTGGCTACGTCAACAATGGGTCTTCATGATTTAAGACGTGTCATTAGCATAATTCCGCAAGAACCAGTTTTATTCTCAGGAACCATACGTAAAAACTTAGATCCATTTGAGGAACATTCAGATGCAGAATTGTTTACGGCGCTACGAGAAGTTGAATTATTGGAAGTTGCCAGGCCTGAAATTGGTGAGCTATTGTATTATGAATAAGTAAATTATAGTTGTGTTAAAGTATTGTTCATTACCAAAATTTGGATTGATGCATAATTATCCATGATATGTTATTGCTTGTACACTATGTTTAGTATCTTTTTTAATTTGTTCCTTATCCTCAGGTGGTCTAAATCACAATTTATCAGATGGTGGCGGAAATTTAAGTATAGGTCAACGACAACTAGTATGTTTAGCACGTGCACTTGTACGTGGTAATCGTATATTAGTTCTAGATGAAGCTACCGCTAATGTTGATGCCAAAACTGATTTTCTTATACAGACTGCAATTCAAACTCATTTTAAAGAATGCACCGTTTTTACGATAGCTCATCGGCTGCATACAGTTATGAGTTGTGATAAGGTAGTGAAAGATTATTTAACAATAATAATCGAATTTAGAGATATTTAGAGAGATCGTTATATTCTTATAAGAATATACCGCTTAGCTGGTGTTTTAAAACAAATATTTGTAACAATCAGGATTTTGTTATTTTTATATAATGATATTTTCTCTAATGATCATTTCAGTTTAAAATGATTTTGATTCGATCGCATTTGACAACATTTTTAAAAGATTATTTTATTTATTTTAAAAAGATACTTGTAATGGATGCCGGACGAGTAGTTGAATATGAATCACCATGGCGATTACTTCAAAGCCCAGATAGCTTTTTATCTATATTAGTCCGTCAAACTGGCCCGGAAATGGCCGCTGTGCTGATCGCAATGGCCCGTAAGGCCAGTGATGATGATCCAAGCGCACCAACAGCTCAAGATATTCAACAATCATATACAACGGCAGATGATCAGAAAACCGAGAGATCTTCAACATCCTCGCGCTCCGTGGAACGCAGTGATATTGTCGGAATTCCAGGTTATTTTAAATATCTTATTATTTTTGAAATTTATTTCATATAACATGATGCGCTAAATTAATCAAAATAGATATATTTTGCAACTATTAATTATTTTTAGTGAAATCGCCAAGTAAATTATGATGTTTAATCCATCATTATTATATTTGGTATTGGAAAGTAATCGAATAAATGTAATATTTTTTTTATAATTTTCACTTTTATTATATATATATATACCCAGTAAACCACAAAACGTAATGAAAACGTTAATAGAACGTAACAGATTATACGTAAAACATAACGGTTACGTAACCTAAGAGGCACACAGACGTATCTATTTCCGCCTCAAAAACGTAACGGCCTGTTTCGTTACGCGATAACGTAACGGTTTCGTTTTTGTAACGTTTCCAAATTGCGCGTAAACGTAACGGTTTCGTTTTTGTTAGGTTTCTAAATTACTAAATTAACGTGTAGGTGTCTTTAATGTAACTTAAAAATTTAATAGAATTTCCTGTAAATATAAAAACCATTTTTTATATTAATTTTATTTCATATTTTAATTAAGACTTTACAAAATTTACTTAATATATATACTTAAAATTACAAAACTACAGAATATAAATTTGAAATTTAAAAATTTGATTAAACTAATACAAAAATTAACAATGCTAACAAATTTCTACTTAACAGGATGGAATTAACTGTTTTATTTTGATTATAAAATTTTAACCATTGAAAATAAGTCTTGTGTAAAGTTCTTGGCAACTTTTGTTTATCAAATTGAAACCATTTCACTGCTTTCTGTTTGTAAATGTATCTAAAACAGAAACAAACAGGTTAGAAACAATTTCTACAATTTTTTTATTGATAATATTGATATAAATTTTTTGTAACATTACCTCTAATAATATTCATTATTTTCAAGTTATTGACAGCTAGGCAGTCCTTTCAACCATACCAAAAACATTAATTCTTCGCCGAATTACACTTTAGACAATAAAGAAGATTTTAGTCTCCGAATTTTTAAATATATTTTTGCTGAAGTAAAAACAATAAAAAGTTATGATTTTGAAATATTGTGATTATTAATATAAATTGTAACAAGACTTCTAATTACCTCTATTTACTTTCATTATTTATTAAAAACATATAGCAGCTAATTCTTTTATGAACATATTGCTCAAATATTGTCTTAATTGTTTCTTGTCAATTCAGTTGCAATTTTATCCACTGACTTTTAAATCATTATTTTGCTACAACTAAATCATAAAAAATTAATACTGAATCATCTAATCATCTCTAACTACCATAATGGGGTATACCAATTCCACGACACATAACACGAGTGTCATCATTTAATGTTGTAAAAAATGTTATTCTTCTTCAAATCGTTTTCTCTTGATGATGGTGGATTATTATTTTATATTCCAACTTTGCATTCATATTCTTTATTTGAGCAAATTGCTTTATTATGAAATCCATTTTTGAAGGTGCATTATGTTCTGTGTCATTATTTCTTCAATTGAAAACCATTGTATTAGTTTTTATTCCTGTTTTGCCGAACCATATTATTATTACTGCAGTACTACTTCATGAAGGGCTACAAATATTAAATATGTATTTGTATATCTCATGTTTACTGTTTACTAACCTTTTGACTCAACATTGCAATAATCATTGAGGTTATGACTTTTTTGTAGAATTTAATTATTATTTGATAAACATACTTATTATTTGATGAAAACATCTACAAATAACAAAATACGCGAATAGAATTTCCATTAATGACCAACCTATATACTGAAAAAAACTAATCATTATTATAATAATATATAAATTAAAATAATTTACACATGTTTTATATTTATACTTACCTTGATCGGTTCCATTTTAAACATTTTAACTGCACACTGCATAACTAATACGTTCTACATTAATCATATAAAACATTAATCATATAAATAATGATTAAATAAATGTTTCAAAAGAATGAAATAATTTGCTTGTCATAGTTCTATATGAAGCGTCCATTGTCATAGACAGAAAAGTAAAATATATAGAGTCACGCATAACTTAAAATTGTGATTTCGTCGCATAGAGTCACGCATAGATAAGAGAGTAGAACACGTAACCTATCTTTTTGACAGTTTTGTGAAACAGCTGTATCACACCGTCCATTTTGTATGTTACACTTACGAAACAGTTTAACGTAACGGTTACGTTATAAAAAATAACAATGCGTTACGTTTAAAGGTTATAATTAAACGTAACAGTTACGTTTTATTAACGTAACCATAAAAAACGTAACAACGTTTCTTCTGTGCTACGTTACTGTAACTTTATGTTACGTTTGTGGTTTACTGGGTATATATATATATATATATATATATTAATTGTCGCAAATCCTCGTGTTCAGGAAGAGACCCTCCAGATCAAGGCCCCAAAAATGGTGCTATAGAAGAATCAGCTGAAGTTTCTAGCAGTGGTCAAGATCAAACAGACAATCCAGAAAATGAAAATAATAATACTCGGAATCAATGAAACAAGCGTATTTTAATATTTTATTTAAATCTATATTATTCGCACATCAAATTTTATTTATTTTTTTCAAACCTAAATTATAAAAGTATAAAGAAATCACAAGGAATGTCAGTCTATTAGATCATTCATTTAATCGCATGAATTTAATTTATATAAAAGTGAAAAAAATATTTTCTAATTAGACTGTCAAATATTCTAGGCATTTTAATGTTATCACGTTTAAAAAGTATATTCTGCCTAAATGTGTAAATTGTTTTATATATTTTTTATAAAAAATTAATAGTACTTTCAGTATAACCACATGTCCTAAAAATAATAGATTTTCTTAATGATTCATGGTAACTTATTTTTCGTTTCTATAAAATTTCAAAATGTATAGTGTTATTTAAAGTTAATTTTCGCAATCATTTACCTTTTGCGATTCAGTTTTTTTAAAAGTCAATATAAAAATATTATCTTCTTATTAATTATAATATCCTTGAAAAAAAAATTAAATTAAGCCATCGCTCGAATTCCTTCTAGTAATGCTTCACATGTTTTCTTCGCGTCCCCAAGCAACATAGATGTATTAGGCTTGTAAAACACGGGATTATCAACGGCTGCGTAGCCTACGCCTAGAGATCGTTTCATCACAACAACCTATAAACATCAAAAGTGATTTTTATTAAGAACAAAAAATGGTTCGAAGTATTAACTTTAAAATATTTCATTTTGATAATTTTTTAAAACATAAACATACCTGATCAGCATTCCAAACTTTTAATACCGGCATTCCGGCGATAATAGAGTTCGGATCGTCCTCAGCCGCACTATTTACAGTATCATTGGCTCCGATCACGAGGACGAGATCTGTTTCCGAAAAGTCATCATTTATCTCTTCCATTTCAAGAACGTCGTCATAAGGTACTCCTGCTTCAGCAAGCAAGACATTTAGTTGTCCTGGCATACGACCTGTTATATATAATGTTTAGAGAAAAAACATTAGTTATTCATATTATTAATATGCTATATCTATTTCTTGCAATATTTCTTGAGCGCGCATTTATAAAATTTAAATATTGTTTTATTATTTTCTTTAATTTCATTATGCATTCTTGGCAATAATAATCAAAGCAATTATCCTACCGGCTACTGGGTGAATGCCAAATCGAACTTGTTTTCCGCGTGATTTGAGTAGTGTCGCCATTTCAGCTATTGGATATTGCGCTTTTGCTACACATAAACCATATCCTGGAGTTATAACGATTTTTCTTGCCTGCGAAATCATATCTATTACATTTGGAACTGCAACTTCGGTATGAGTGCCAGTAATAGCGGCTGCTTGTCCACTACCAGTGGACGACGTACCATATCCGCCTAAAAAAATCAATGAACTAAGTTATTAACCATATCACGTATGTGATAATTTTTTCTGATTTTTTATTAATATACCTAGGATAACATTAGGAAGTGATCTGTTCATTGCTTTGCACATAATATATGATAAAATTGCACCAGAAGACCCGATCAAAGCTCCAACAACCGTCATAAGATTATTGTTTAGCATAAATCCTTCGGCACACAATGCCCACCCCGAATAGCTGTTCAAAACCGTTATTACGACAGGCATATCGGCTCCTCCAATAGCCGCTGTTAGAGTAACACCCATTGCCGTAGACATTGCAGCAGTACCTATCAAGAATAAATATGAAGAAAAATTAAAATTAATTATTTCATCAAATTATTAATCATTATACCTCCAAGAAGTGCCATTCCTGTTCCTAAAGTGCCATCTGCAAAGAATGCTGCCATTGCCAAAGCATTTCCAGCTAATAACCCACCATTAATAGCGTGACGACCAGGAAGTAACAATGGCTTGGATGATAGTAATCCTTGTAATTTGCCGTAGGCGACAAGCGAGCCACTAAAAGTTACTCCTCCAATATACGTTCCCAAAATAATGCTGTTTTTAGCACTAAGGCTGACGGATCAGTTGCCAGTGATGGATAATCATGTAAAAATGTTGCGAAACATGTGAGAACAGCAGCTAAACCTACTAAACTGTGAAATCCTGCTACTAATTGAGGTAGGTCTGTTATCTGAATTCGTTTAGCTATGAGGGCCCCGATGCCTATAAAAATTAACAGAAGACGAAGATTAAACCCAAATCTGCACTTATTATTCTAACGTTAATAATCGATATATTTGTAATTTACCTCCTCCCAGTCCAGCGACTGCTGCCATTTGCAAAAGAACATCGTTATCCGGAGCTAATTGACCTAAAGTTGCAGCTATACCACCAGATACGCCAATCTGATTTACGATATGAGAGTATAGATTATTTTTATCAAAATCCCAGTAAAAATAACAGGTGTTATAAAATTTCTTACCATTCCTAAATAATTTCCTAGTCGCGCAGTTTTCTGTGATGAAAGACCTGCAAGTGCTCCTACACAGCATAGCGATGCGGCCAAATAAGCCATCTGATGTACTTCGGGACAACCATAATGAGTAGCTGCCAAATGTCCACCTAAGAAAGCTACAGCTGGCAGTGCAAATAATCCACCATACTCCGGAGGATCCCCAGGACGTTTGAACATATCTAACATACGTCTGGTAACCAAAAAACCGCCTGCAGATAAAACATAAATATACTTAATCGTCGTTTGATAAGTTTAATATTTTATTTATTCATTGCTTACCAGCGATGTTGACACAGGAAGCAAATGCTGCTCCTGCTGCCAAATACTGAACTGGTGTATGTGGAACTAAACCGCCACCCATCAGAAGCATGCCGCCTACCGCTGTAATACCACTCACAGCGTTTGTGACAGACATTAATGGAGAATGAAGTGCCGGTGTTACACCCCAAACTGTGTGATATCCGACTAATCCCGATAAAGCAAATGTAGAAGTCATTGCAGTGAATGCTGGGCCGGGTGATACAGATCCCAACGCAACGACACTTCCAAGTGCTGAAATAATTTTGTGATATAAAGAGATCTTCAGATATGAAATTATTCATTAGCGGTAATAATAATAGTGTAATAACTAATATATCAATATTTTGATTATGTATTTATTTACCAGTTGTGCAAAGCATGCACTCCTTGAAAGCTTTCATAAAAGGATCCACCTTTTCCGGTTCAGCGGTTGAAGCTTCCTTTTTTAGCGCTTTAGCAACGGCAGCCGGTGGCGCGGCCGAAACAGCGATCGGAGGTGGAGGCCACATCAGCTCGCCTTCCTTTAAAATTATACTTCCACGCACTACTTCATCTTCGAGACGGATATTAAAATAATCCTTTTCACCTGAAAAAACATTATAGTAACTAAAATAATGAAAAAAATTAAGACTCAAACAGACTAAAAACTTAATTTTAACAAGTTCAAGGAATTATATCAATAGTTAGCTAAATTCATAAAAGTGAATCACAGAAATAAGAGGTTTCGAACATTTTTATAATTATAAAAACATAGCTGAAAATCTATTGCTTAAAAGAATATCAACAAAATGCGTCTATTTGAATGATAACGAAGAATGTCCATTACGTAGTAAAAATAAATATAGCGATATCAGTTCGTTGCCGCATCTAAATATACCCAGTACTGTTCAACCACGTATTGTTCAAAGAAATATAAATAAGTCACTAATAAAAGTCAGTATGCATTGTAATCGTAGTAGGGCAATACAACAAACGCACATGGCGATATAAAATCAAGACGCATTAGTTATTCAAAAATAAGTAAATCTATTTATTAAACAACTTGCTATTAAATTTGAATGGGGTGAATTCGATTTTCTGAAAAGGCATAATAAATATTTATTCGTTTTATTATTGAAATTGCGTAAACGTAATATTATTTACTCTA